AGTTACTTGCTCAAGAAAACGACTTGCCCCTGACAGGGTTTTTGTATATCAAAATATGACACACGTTTATATCATATATCAAGCAGCATGCCTACATATCAATGTTATATTAAAAATTTATTTATGTAATAAATGTTACATAAAATAATTATTTATGTACTTCAGTTTACTTTATAACCTTTTAAGATTTATTATATTTTTCTTATAACTGCTTTCATTAATTTAATTGTTTTCTTAAGTCTCTTAAGTGTGATGACCATTCACTGTATGAATTTATTTCAGACATATGTAGCTTAATTTCAGAAGGCAAGTGCAGAAGTAATTATCGATGAACTTGTGATGCAATTAAGAAACCAACCAATTTCAGTGTAGCATGTGAACGAAAGAAAAAATGATAAGAAAGAATGATTTTATAGATTTTTTTTCATTTATAAATAGGTGCTGCAGCCCAGAACATTTTAAAGACATTGATTGATCTTAATTAGGAGAGGTGTAGATTGTTCTAAATTATCCGGTTAAGCAAATGATGGCAAATTATCGATGAACTTGTTTCCAGATGTTACAGAAATATTGACTTTATTATTTGCAGATGATTTAGCTCTGACTTCAGACACTGTTAACGGACTCCAGAAATTGCTTGATTTGTTAAAACAATTTTGTGATCAACACTTTGTCAAAGTTAATCCTAGCAAAACTAAGGTTATGGTTTTTAAAAAAGGGGGGAAACTAAGTATGCATGAAAAGTGGTTTTTTGATGATAACAGATTAGAGACTGTATCAAAGTTTTCGTATGTAGGCAACACTCTCACAAGCAAACTGTCTTTTCCTATTATGGCACAGGACCAAAGTATCAAAGCTAAACGAGTTCTTATATCTATTCTAAATAAATTGTATGAGTATGGTCAACTTCCTAAACATGTATTTTTCGAAATATTTGATACAAAAATCAGTCCAATTTTGTTATATGGGAGCGAGATTTGGGGTGCTAGTGAGCAAAAATTCACTGATTCCATTCAAAATAATGAATGTAAAGGATATATATGTGCCTTAGTAAAAAAACAATTAATATAGCTATTTTGGGGGATTGTGGCAGATATCCAATGTTTATTACAACTGCTAAAAGAGTTATTAAATATTGGTGTAGAATCTTAAAAATGGATGAACAAAGATATGTAAAAAAGCATACAATATGATGAAATGTTTTGATAACTATGGACAAAATAATTGGGTTACATATGTTAAAAATTTACTTATGAGAAATGGATTTGGGCAAATTTGGTTTGATCAGAGTGTACCTAATGAAATGTTATTCCTTCATCAATTTACTCTTAGACTTAAGGATCAGTATCTTCAAACTTGGCATTCTGATGTGGGAAATAGTTCTAAACTGTCATTGTATGCAAATTATAAGTTAACTTTTGAACATGAAATATATCTGGATTGTGTAACAATTAAAAAATTTAGAAATGCATTGGGTAAATTAAGGACCTCTTCACATGACTTAGAAATAGAAAGAGGGAGGTATTCTAACACTGAAAGAAATCAAAGAATATGCAAACTTTGTAATACTGAAATTGAAACTGAATTTCATTTTGTTTTAAAATGTCCCAGATAAGAAAAAAATGATAAGAAAGAATGATTTTATAGATTTTTTTTCATTTATAAATAGGTGCTGCAGCCCAGAACATTTTAAAGACATTGATTGATCTTAATTAGGAGAGGTGTAGATTGTTCTAAATTATCCGGTTAAGCAAATGATGGAGCAATCAAGGCAGGGATGAAAAGTCTGTAGTGCAGAGACAAATACAAATCACTTCTGATATATTGTCAGTCAACTGTATAGCTCTGACAGAGTTGGAATTAATTTTGGTGGTGCATTAGATGATATTATATACCTTGTTTCAGGAAATTGTGAATGCAGTGTACAAGTACTTTGAATATACTCCTTAATATGCAAATTCGCTGAAATACATGCAGGTTATTCTAGATCAGAAGCAGAAAGGTTATAAAAAGATATACAATGTGGCTTTCATTCAAGCTGTTCTTGCTAATTACAGGAGATTGTAGTATATATTGAAAGCTGATAATAGTGCAAAAGCTTCAATCTTATAAAGTCTGTATGAACTTACATACTTTTGTAAGCTCATTTTGTGTCAGATTGTAATGCAGTTTGTTTTGTTGTTTGAGTAAATCTTACCAATCATAAAACATAAAATTTATCGCTGTTTATTCTTTGCTTGGGAATACAATAATGAGCAAAATTCAATTTCTTGAAAATAAAAAAAGAAAACATCCCTTTAGTGTGTTCTTAATATCCAAGTTGAGTCTGATATACAATATTTCACCACTATAACTTACAAAAATGTATATAATATATTTTTTTTAATATTAATTGGTAAATTGTAAAATGTTGTGATATTTTAAACAACTTACTATTATAAGAAGCAATTGATTGTTTATATGTATTTATTTCGCAAACTCTAACGCTATATATTCAAGTTTGAAGTTCTGACAAATCTTAGTAAGTTTTAAGCACCATAACTTGAATAACTTTCAAGTGATTTTAAATTTCTTGCTAAAGGATACACCGGCTTGCCCCTGACTGGCTTTGAACACACACAACTATAAATCCTTAAATTGTTACCGCTACACCGACGTGTAATCCACATAGCCGAATGTCAGTTTTTCAATGCCGCCTTAGGTTATTTGAACGAAATACTCAAATGCAACTTTAGGAGCGACATGAAACATTTCATTTATGGCATTGAACTCTTAGTTGAAATGTGTCAAGTTTTGTTATATTTAAACTTTGAAAATTTATTCTACTTGTGCAATCTGTATATTAAGAATTTTCTAACTCGCCGTCTTGCAATTCATACAATTTCTTATCATTAACTGTTCTGAAAAGAAAATGTTCACAGATTACGCCAACAATACGACCTGTCGTCCAAACAATTCTATCCGAGGCTTTCATTTGAACAAAAATGAAGCAATATTCCTCAAATTTGCATTCAAATATCTTATTTCCATTACTTGATGCCTGTTCAACCACCGTTTGGAGAAACCGACCCAGATGATCCTTAATGTAAAGATGATTAGACCTCCAATCATTTACTTGCGTGTCAATGTAGAGTTACCTCCCTGGATTTGGTAACTTAAACAAATGTACATATTAAAAATGTATTTCATCCCGACTAGGGCCCTGAATCATTTTCATTTGGTTAAAATGTTATAGAGTATTAACAAAAATCAAATTTTACTCCTAAAGGGGTAGTTCACAGTTTGCGGTTTCTTGGCTAACAATTATCTGCACTACAAGTTTGTTTGCATTTTAAAATAAATATATACTTACGTTTCACATTGCAAATAATAAACATTGATATGGATATATTTCATTGCAAACAAATAAGGCTTATAAGCCCATGATATCGTGTTTAATTGATGGCTATGATTATCGGAGTCCTGGTTATCAAATCCTGGTATCTGAAGTCACAACGCGCAAAAATATGGTTTAAAAATAGGAATGACCACCGAAAAATGCATGGAGGCAGATGTCAATTGTTTCAAGGACGAGACAAGTTCTTAAGACCATTAATTTAAATTTTAAATAGTTATTATTATATTAACGTCCTCCTTAAAGCGGGTTTATAAATATATAAAACATTGAAATCAGTTACAGCTTTTTATAAGCACTAGTTTTAATTGTGATTTTCAAATTATGCTTTGGCAGATTTGAATATCTTAAATCAAAACGATTTATATAAATATGCATTCGGCAATGCGCCAATCTTTAAATGTAGAGATCCTATTTCTCAGGTAATCAAAATCTAGAAAACAATAAATTAGCTTCATAAACTAATTTGGTGAAAATGAGGCAGTAAATTTTGGATGGATCTTATATTGAACTTTAATACTACTCATAAAACAAGCATTTGTATTAAATCTAAAGTATGGTGCAATAGCCTGGTAGTTCACAAATGAAACTAAGGCATCATTCGAAAAACTTTCAAAATATGAAATAAACAGGGACTCAGTCTTAACGTTCTTGACACCTTAAAAGGTCTTGAATATGATTCTCGGAAATAATGTATGTATAGCAATGCCACTTTTTTTTAAAATTAAGGGTATTTTATAAATTAAAATCGAAATTCAGCAACTAGGTTGTGGAAGACCCTGCAAAAGCCTTTTAAACAGCGCTCATCTACCAACTAGTTCAAGTCCATGCTTGGCAGTTGGCATTTATATGTGTGTGTGTCTATGCTTGGTTTGTTTGCAAGAACATTGTTATTATTTTGCATATTGTGTGTTTCTGTGTCACATTTCTATCGGGTGTTTCTCTGCATATTTTCTCTGCATATACTAGCTATATACTCGTATTAGGAAAATGAGGTGGCTGTTCATAAATTGTCCAAAATCTTGTCGCCAAAACCAAACTAAAAAATCCTTTGATGTAAGTCACACATTTGGTTGTCTATTACAGTTCATCTTTATGTTTACATGTATTTACATTTTCTTTCAAATTTTATGCTAAAATAAAGATCATCAGCTTCAACAAAGAACTTATTTTCTATTTTTGTGTTTTGCATCTACCAATTATGTATGGTGTGCTTTATCTGTAGTGAAAGTTATTTGAATTTCAAATGTATTGTTCTTATTTGCAATATATATAATTTCAGTTTAAGTCCTCCAAATTTTGGTTTTAACAAGCACTAGGCACTAGTTGTAAAGTGTTGTCCATTTCCCGTCGCAAGGCTTTGATGATTTTATTCTCATATAGAGGGTTACGCATCAGATTACTAGAAAGAGACCAATTAACAGTGAGGTAAAGTGGTAAAATATTTATAAACATTTTAACAACTTTTTGGGGATATATTCATTTTACTTTATTTTCATAAATGTGACATATAGTATAGCAAGGACACAAAAATAATGGAACGATATCATTATCAATTCACTTTCAATTATTCATGTTGTTTTAAAAACTCAAGTTGGGTAGTCTGTAGAACAGTAGAAGATAGATCTCTGTACTCATCATTAAAACTTCTCTGTCACATCTTTTAAAATCAAATCATGGATAAATATACATTAGATGGCAAATTTTCAACGTAACTTAACTCAAACGGTAAAACTTGTGTAAGTTTATAGAAATAGATTTAAAAAACGTGTTTTCATATATAATACGGTTACTAGAAAATAAATCATTTTTTTTAAACCAAAAGCAAAACATTAACAAAGAAGTAGAGCAATAGATTGTTAACCCTTTCTTTGACAATTTAACCAATAATAGAGTAACAGTCATAAATAAATATCACCCTTTATTTATTTCAGCTTTGGCTTCAATACTAACGACCGCAATTTGATGATTACTATTGTTTTCCATTGTGTTTATTTCTTTCTTTTTTCTATCATTGGTGACTTCTATTTCCATATTACAGTCATCTTCCAATGCCCATGGCTGTACCTCACCGGATGCAAAGACAGCGAAAAATATTGACCCAAATATATAAATTCCAGCCGTTATATAAAATACGGTTTTCCATTGTTCTTGTGTTCCCTAGAATAACAATAATAATATAAGTGATTCTCGCCATCAATAGTTGGCTGTGTTTCTTAAATTAGATATCAATATCTGACCATACTAAATATTGTAAATGGACTTGTCCATCTTTCCATCTGGGCATGACCAATTATTATTTATCAATTAAACTTTCAAAATATAAAACTAAATAGCAAACAGTACGGACCATGATCAGAAACACTTGGCGTTCCCCCTGATCTTGTTTGGCATTGGTCACATGGGAAGAACTGGTTGTCCCAGCCGGCTAAGGGCTAATATCGCTCTTACTTTCAAGAAAGGGTTCGTTTTACACTAATTTATACATACAAAAATTGCTTCATTGTTTGCAAAGAAACAAAGAAACTTTGTCTATTTATAGCTTTCCTTGACTCCGTTATGGTATGCTTTCATTGTCTCCGTTATGGTAAGAATGCCAATAAAACATTTTTTATTTATTAGGCAAAATAAAAATCTTGTATGCCATTTAACGTTTCAGAATAAACATCATGTAAATGATACTAATGTTGAGACAATTATATAAACCTTACGTCTTCGACTATGAATCCAATTACAAAAGGTGCCAGAAAACCACACAGAGAGCCAGCGCTATTAGAAAACGCCATGATAATGCCTGCGTACATGGGGGCTACCTCTACAGAATTTACCAGATAACCACTTCCGAACTGCATCCCGGATATGGCTACACCAATGGTCAAAAGTGTCACAGCAAGATCAGGATTTTCGGCAATGTTTGCCATGATGGCTATACTTATTGCCGGTAGAATATTCCCTATAAGTACAAGTAAACAAGTGAAAACATTTGGAATCGTCACTAGCTAGTTTATTTTACAATATTTCTAAAGTTATCAAATGGTAAACATTACATGAAAATAGTCTATAGTATTCCTAATGATAATTCACTATACAGTGTGGGATTTTGCAAGAAGGCGAAAAGAAAATTATTATGTTAAATGATTCGTACAAATTGCTAAGCAGAAATAAGAAGTCAGAAAACCTAGTACAAATATTATTCTATACTTCTTAAATACATAATATATATATATATATTCTCTGAAGTATTAAGTAAATCCATCAAAACATCTGGATATGGTAAACAGGTACATGTGTTCGGCACACATGATTAAGCTTAACTTTCTACATTGTGCCAAAACACAATTACTTTAAGTTTCAGATCTGGAGAAAGAAATACACTGTGAAATTGCTAGGAGAAAATCAACTGATCTCACCAATGCCAGACAAAAGTTTTCGTGTAAGTGTTTTGGACATGCACTTTCGTCTTTGAATACAGTCAGCGATGAGTGCTGTTATGTTAGAAACAAACCAGAATCCAAGGTATGGTAGCGATGATAAGAATCCAGTCTGTTATAAGTAAAACATTTTAAAGGGTATTAAGCTTTATCTTATACAAACATAATCAGTTTAAGGTAAATATTTTTATGTTGCTTTCATAATCTTACGGTCAATCATGAAAGTAGTTGTATCATAGAATTTTTGTAATTTAACACACATGAATATTGTCCGTAAACAGAAAAAATGTTACGAACTAAGATATTATGTTGCTATTTTAAGTAGAGTTCCATACACGCGCCATTCTCTATTTTTTTTTCTTTCATGAAGACATTTTGGATGTATTCTCTCTTACAAAATTCAACAAATTATTTTTTCACATTATAAAGCTTTATAAACTTTGAAAAGATGTGCTTTAGTAACAAAAAAAAATAAAAGATTATAAAAACAGTACACTCGAATTGATTTGAACTTGGTAAACGGATATAAACACAGCAACATTTAAAGTAAATCAACCTGGGATACCATTGTGAAATGATTATGCAAAGTTTCAAAACAGCATATAGTAATCATTCAGCCTGTATGTCTACATGACTGTTTATCATCACCTTCGTACATTGACGGAATTAGTCCTTCGTAATTGAATATGAGTTAATCAGTTATTGAACTAAAGTGACGATATGTTATATCTATGATCTAGTATTTGACTTTTATTTCATAAACATCAATTAAGCTGGAATGCAAAAGATTCTGATTATTTAACCAGCCTTAATACCGTAAGATTCGAAATTTTAGCTTTCAAAATAGTTTTGTTAACTTATTGCATTAGCATTTTGAAATCATCATTAATATTGTTTTTATTGTATTGATTTAATATTTCGTTTTAGTAAGTGACAAGAACTGTAACAAAAATGCTAATTTACCAAAAAGAATATTGACAATGCCGGCATCAATAACAATAAAGTTGTGAAGTTGCTTATGTATTAAGCCGAATTTGCCCAATTGAACATTGCATAAATTATATTTTAAATAATTAAAATGGTAAAGTTAATAAAACTTATAATTACGTTTTTGATTTGAAACTGTAAAACATCTTCCATATAACTCGGTATGTTGGTCATGAAAGTATATAGTCCCCATTCCGAACATGCTTGTGAAACAATAATTGCCCAAACAGAACATGATGACAATATCTTTGACCAAGGTGTAGTCGTCGGCTGCAATATCGATGTCAGTTGAACAAACATAAGCTAAAGGAAAAACATTGGTATATCATATTATTTGGCTTGAAAAATTCTCTTCCTAAAGCTATATTTATCTCAGGGTTAAACCATATTCAGACATGTTTACGTAACGATAAAAGCAACAATGTAATATTTCGCGCATGAGTATTCTGAGTATTCTGCGTATAAAATGACGGAGACCTATATTGCTGCAATGTGATTTGGGTTATCAATTCTATTAACATTGTGGTAAATCAACTGTTTAAGACTTAGTTCTAGTAATAAAAACAAAACAACTAAACGAAAACAAAAGGAAAAGACAACAATGCAATGTTAGGAGACGTTATCAATTTGATACTATGATACTATCTGAAAACATTTAATTCAATCAATTCTGAAATAAGAAGTTTTACCTGGAGCATATAATTAAGCGTTTAACTAAAACTGGATAAATCTTTCTATTAAAACATTACAAATGTGAATGAAGACTATTTTCATCAATTAAAAAACTTCTTATTAAGCTAATTTGGTCGTGATTATAAATATGATGTATATTTCGGTTCCAAAGAATGGATTGTTATTTATAGCAGATAAATACAGCAACCTAACAATTATTCAAATGCACAGACATTCGGGAGTAAGAATGTAAGCCCTCCTTGCTAAGCCTTTGTTAATTCTCAGTAACTTTAATGACCGAACACGCGTGGGAAAACTGTCTCAGGCATAAAATGAAAATTTAAATTTAATTTCTACGTGAATTTTATAGTGTTCGTTTACAATCGAGTCTCGATTGAATTAAGACTGCAGACACAAGAACGTTTACACGTATCTCCTACCAAGAATATGCATGATTTTTTAATAGACATTGATACAATGATTACAATAAACATGATAAAAATGTTAAAAGATTTTTTTGATGAAAAAAAAAGTACAAACTCATAACCAATACCGTAATTTTCACAACCAATTTTGCCGATGACGTAGAAATATCCCTACTTTACTTTATTTACCTATATGTCAGTCGTTCATGTGTAAATATTTTCTGCATATACATCAGATCTGAGTGCCAGCTCTGTATAATTAATTATTAAGTATTGTTTGGAAAGTTTTAGTCGTAAGCGAAGATTTCTGTAAATTTATGTTAAATTTTCATTGAAAATAAAGTGCCGTAGATAAACACGATTTTCCAATAACACCGCCGTATTTAAAATACAAATTACCGCTGAATAATACCTGGATAACTAAATTTTAAATACAAATCACTCCTATGTCATTGCTTATAGGAAAACGTGTACATATTAAACGATTTTCGGTGCATCTATTTAAGTCGAGACAAAAAATAATATACTCGCATAATTACTGAAACAGTCTTTTTGATAGAAGTCGAAACTTATGCATACATGTGTTCAGCTGATTTTAAAGAAAAAAAGAAAGAAAGAAAAAAAAAAAAAAAAAAAAAAAAAAACCCAAAAAGCAAATTACCTAACCCCTAAAGCATTGCCTCTGTTTTAAATAGTATTCAAATAGGCTAAAATTAATGTCGACTAAATTTAAATGGTAGGTCTAGGATTCAAACACAAAAGGATTTTTTCCTTCCATTTTTCTTTTTGAATTATTTATGTATCCTTCAAATCCTTTTTGGGTAAAAGTGTTTAATTTTGATAATAATTATGTGACCCAATGTTCAAATAACGTGAAATTTTACCACGACCTGTAAGGGGGTTTACCCCCAACCCCCGGACAATTTTGAACAAGATTAATTTTTGTCTCAGGCACTTTTGCGTATAATAATATTTCAACGTACTGTGAAATGGCTCAACGGGTATCTAAGGTGGTCTGAGACGGTACTTCATGCCATTAGATTACATCACACTTTACGCAGGTAGAAATTTAATGAAATCAACTTGAAATTTACCAGATCTCAGGGTTATTCTAATTCATCACTCGTACCTTACCGTTTTTCTTATATCCACTTCTGATTGAAGTTTTTGTAAGATGTAAATTTTCTCTTGTTCAGAAATTCTTGGATGACGAACGGGTGAATCAAACACACAAAACATCCATGCAACAAACCAGATGACTCCAACGCAGCCTAAATGATATTATATTCTAAACAAAAGTCTTATAGTGAAGTAACTTAAATAAAAAAGTAAAAAAAAGGAAACAATCAGTAAAGTGACATATTCTCATTCTTTTACTGTCAAATGGAGCCAAAATACCACTTAAATCGACAGTTTTTTGGTTATTGACCAATAACTGATAAGTACTAGCATTTAGCATAAAATATATCAACTGCCTAAATATAATAAGAGAGCCTCGCTCACTTAACCCTTCAAACTCATTCGAGCAATTAACTAGACAAGAATCCTGACCAAGTTTCAAGACAGTTGAGTCAAAAATGTGAGTACTAGAGTGTTAACAAGGTTTCTCAATATTTGAGCAGTGTGACCTAGTTTAAAAACCCAGGTGACCCATATTTGAACCTGTCCTTGAAATAATCAAAACAAACTTTCACGCCAAATTATAGGATACTTTGATCAAAACAGTAGCCACTAGAGTGTGAACAAGATTTTTATATTTTAAGCTTCTGTGACCTAGTTTTTCCTCCGAGATGACACATGTTCAAACTCAGCCAAGCAATTACCTAGAAAAGCATCCTGACAAAGATTGATTATAGTTGAGTCAAAAATTTGATCATTAGAGTTTTTTTTACGGTTTTTCTATATTTGGGCGGTGTGACCTAGTTTTTGACCCTCGGTATCCCATATTTGAAACTGACCTAGAAAGCATCAATAACAAACTTTCAGATCAATTTCAAACAGATTTGTATCAAAACAGAAGCCACTAGAGTGTAAACAATATTTTTATATTTTTAGCTCCGGTGACCGACCTAGATTTTCATCCGAGATGACCCGTGTTCGGACTCATCCCAGCAATTACCTTGACAAATAACTTGACAAAGTTTTTTTATGATAATAAAGTTGAAAGTGTGACCACTAGTGTGTTAACAAGGTTTTTCCATATTTGGAAGGCGTGACCTAGTTTCTGACCTCAGACATACGAACGAACTAGAAATCAAACCCAAAAAACTTTCAGACCAATTTACTGGTATGTGGATCAAAACAGTAGCCACTAGAGTGTTAACCATGTACATGTTATTTCTATTTTTAACTCCTGTCACCTGGTCTTTTAACCGAGATTACTAAAGTTAGAACTTATTAGAGCAATTACCTAGATAAGAATCCTGACAAAGTCTGATGACAAAAATGTAACTACTAGAATGTTAGGAAGGTTTTCCCATATTTGGGCGATGTGACCGCGGTTTTCAACCCAGGTGACCCATATTCAAAGTTGACCCGAGAAATCATCAAAACAAACTTTCGGACCAATTTTCAGGATATTTGGATCAAAACAGTAGCCAGTAGAGTGTTAACAAGATTTTTCTATTTTTAGCTCATGTGACCTAGTTTTTTTATCAGCCATGATCCATGATTTAACTCATTCGAGCAACCTAGACAAGCATCCTGACAAAGTCTGATGACAATTGAGTCGAAATTGTGACCACTTGTGTGTAAACAAGGTTTTCCCATATTTGAGCGGTGTGACCTAGTTTTTGACCCCCGATGTTCCATATTCAAACTTGACCTAGACATCATCAGAACAAACTTTCATACCAATTTTCCAGGATATTTATATCAAAACACTAGCCACTAGAGTGTTTACCAGATTTTTCCATTTTTAGCTCCTGTGACCTAGTTTTTCATCCTCAAATTGAGTCAAAAATGTTACCACAATAATGTTTTTTAAGATTTTTAGTATTTGGGCGGTGTCACCTACTTTTTAAAACCAGTTAACCCATATTCAAACTTTACCTAGAAATTATCAAAACAAACTTTTAGACCAATTACTAGGATATTTGGATTAAAACAGTAGCCGAATAAATGTGGACGGACGACGGACATTCAACGATCCTAAAAGCTCACCCTGAGCGAGCTGATGTAAGCTTAAAAGACTGTCCCACTCTTTATTAATTAAATGTTACGAATAAATTGAGGATATTTGTTTAACGAAGGTTATTAATTATTCAGGTAACGTCGATATTAAAATTAAAATGATAAAATGTAAAGTTATTTTGAATTCGCCGTTGACTCATCGATAGGCATGATGTCACGCCTCAATTAGGTAGGTTAGTACATTCTAGTAGAATACTGTGGGGGAAAGAAATTATCGTTTTACAAAGATTTCCACTTTAACGAAGATTTGTCCTTAACCGATGATTGCCTCGAACTGATCATTGCCCCGAAGATTTGCGCTTTACCAAAGATGTACTTCTATGTTATCCTCTAACAACGCGGGACAGAATACGGCCAAAGTCATACGGAATAAATCCAACACAAAAATTCCTGAAAGTAAGAGTGGTTAAAGGAACAGTCCCAGACCGGTGCAATTGACTGTTTCTGGCACTATCGCATACTTTCAGGAATTTTATTTCCTCTGGTGATATAACTAAATTTGGACATAAAGGGACTCTCCGAAATTTATTGCACTAATCTGACACGGGAATCAGACTTTCGGGATTTTTTTGCTAATCGAGTTAATGACACTTACACTGTATCGGACTGTTCCTTTCACATATTCTAACGTTCAAGAGGTTTAGTGCCAATAGATCTGGGTTCATTTATGATAAGCATGACAAACATCTTGTCACATTATCTACTATGTAACGCAGTCGCAATACGTATGTCAAGGGCAAACCTTTGGTAAAGGGCAAATATTCGGTAAAGCGCAAATCTCCGGTAAAGTGAAGTCTGCAGTAGGTAAAGGGCAATTATTCGGTTTTGAGAAACTTTTAACCGATGATTTTCCGCCCCCATATTACTCTACTATTTATGTAAAGCTTATATGACATTGTTATTTTCTTAGATATCGATATTTCTAAATTATTTTTCCTCATTTAAAACACACGTCAACAAAATGTAAGACAAAGCTAAATCAGACACAGCGGGAGTTTTATACTCTCAGTAATTTCAAACACCTTATTCTAATAATGAGCATGTTTTATGAAAATTCTGAAATTGAACTTACTGGGAAATAATAGGACATACCAGTCTTAATTAATATTATAATTACCTGATATGTTGTCATAAATTTTTTAAATGCCGACTTACAGCAATGTTCAGTTAAGCTCTAATACCTATACTGTAGTTGATATACTATGAGTGATATGAATGAAATTTGATGCATAAAACCCAGGTTTGCATTGGTTATAGACAGAGACAATAGCCATTTACCTGACACATAGAATATACTCGGCCATCCACCATCAAAGCCATCAACGCATAACACCCCACTATATGGAAACGTAACCATTATACCAAATTGAAATCCTGTAAAGATACCATCTGTCTTAATGTTTGAGCGGGATTTATCATTTTTGCGTTTTACATGTACGGGTGAGTATTATAGAAACATGGTTTATTGTATATGTAATTCCAACAGGTTTTATCGGTAGTGTCACATATATACCAATTGCATTTTTTAATGATAGTAAGAGATTTTTGTTCTGCAAAGCAAGGTAAACATTTTTCTAATACGTTATCGATCCAGACGTGATTTATATGTTTGTCTTTCGAAATCATTGACTAAAATACTTTAAAAGTTTAGGATGGGGCATCCTTATTATAGAACTATTTAACGTTAAAACATTTCAACAAAATCCTGTAGCGTTATGTTCGTAGTTTTTAATGGTATTTAGGCAGAACCTTCATTAAAAATATGTAAACTTTTGATCATAAAAGAATATTGTAACAAAGCTTTATAAAACAAAGTCAAAATGCACCCTTTTGCGAACGTTTACATTTGCATCCATTAAATGCCAGGATCGCAGGCGGGGTATTAAATATGTCCGCGTAGGCTTCTGCAGATATTTAAGCATGAGCAAAACCTGCATTAGCGCTATTTTTGCAGAAAATGCACCTCTTAATCGATAATTGCACGTTCTGTTAACTGTATTGTGAATAAAGAAACCATTGGCTATGCCATATTTTCAAAGAAAGTGAAACCGCGATGTCATTTAACATTTATGTTTTAATAGAAATGTTTAGGAACCGTTGTATTGCACAAAGCTGTTTTTAATTGCATATTTTAAAAAGTACAAAAACGGTGCGTGGTCACGAGAATCTGTTATGTTTGGAAATGGTTACGTGCCTTTAAAGTTTTAAGCAACAAAATAAGTTATAAGTACTGAGAAATGATCGGAAAATGGTAAAATAAGAAAAAAATGTTTACCAGCGTAAACAAAAGAAACCGCTCTACTTCGTTGTAAAGGTGGGATCCACAGGGAAAGCAATTTATGCATACATGGTAATGCAACGCCCTGTAGTAATCGTAATGCTAAATGATATTATGCCAATAATATTTTAGTTCGTGATAAAGCAAAACATGGATATGACAATGTACACAATCAATCGTAAATTATTCAAACAAAAAATGGTTCAATTTACAATACTTAATATGCTTTATTTTTTAATTTTAACATCTTTCAAAAAGGACTATTCTTAACATATACTTTCATAGAATGATTTTGTCGCAATTACTTTTAAAAAGCTGATCCTCAACTTTATTTTCATCAAGGCAATTATCAAAAAATAGATTTAATTGAATAAAAAAAAACACAAAAAAAACCCAAACAAAACACAACTCTTTGAACAATATTAACTCACGGCAATTCCACTCTGCTATATGGTAGATGATAACATCACATTTGTATTTAACTTTCATATATTATTAAGGTTCCAACAATTGACATGGTAAACAATGATTTGTAATATGCTATAAGATGTTTAACCTGACAAAGTCCTGCAAACCCACGCACAGCTATCAGCAAAATGACATTTGATGTTGCCGCAAAAGGTGTGATGATAGTAGCAATAGCGCAAAGAAGCATACACCATCCAAGTAATTGTTTCCCGCCATATTTGCTTGAACCATCAGGGGTGGGAATGGTGGGGACAGGAAGAACTAGACAGCCTACTCCTATGACGTCTCCGGTAGTTCCAGTACCTAAACTAAATGTCCATTGTCATTGCATTAGCACGTTTTTAGATGAACGAAACCCCCAACAACACCCAACGACCCCCAAACAAAAGCACAACAAAACAAAATATGACGCTGTATTAGCCAAAAATAGGGCTTATGAATAAGCATCGGCTGCAGTCCTCGGTCATTATATGCCTTTGCCTGTTAGCTTTGGCTTTTAATGAGCCCTCGTGTTTTGCAGATGGTAATGTGCTAAAAAGGTGCACCTACCATTTTATATACGAAATCCCTTAAAGCAATCCAATTTCCCACTTCCATTTTCTCTTTAATCAATACCTGTACATTATACCCCAGGATGTAAGAGATAAAAATTCGATCATATAAAATGTTTGAAGACTTTATCGTTTATTAAAAGTAACCTGATCAACTATGTTCTCTGTTATATTTTCTTGAAAGGTATTTGCTGAATCAATCTTGCTTGTGTTACTGCTCCTCTTGTTGTGTATGTGGTCCTCAGTCATACAAACAATTGCCACACTCATGTTTACCCTCAACGAGTACATATTCATGCATCCAAAAAATGCAATGATGATCAGAGAAAAACGGCACGAGCACAAGAAGCACCCTGAAATAGTTCATATCAATATAATCAGAATGTTATTAATCTATATTATTAGTCGTGAACTTATGTTAACCTAATTGATGTTCTCTAATGTAATTTTTTATATATATTTTTGTAAGAAATATGTGCTAAAATATTGTATTTTATCAATTGTTTATTATTTCAAAGGAGCTCGACTGATGTCCAGAAGCCTTACAACATAAAATTTGAAATTCTGGCATCGAACAACTCGTTCACAAAAACTTGAAAATATTTGGAAGATATAATAGATACGCTCAGAATTAATAAAATATCATTTTATCTTGTGCTATCCCTAGACCGTTTTCTGGTCAAAGCATTGCAACGCTGTTCATTTTGTGCTAAAAACGTAATATTCTGGTAAAACGGAGTTAGCAAATATTCAGAAATTTTGCACATGAGTTATTGGTGTAGGTTTTCATCAAATGATACGGAGGTAAATACTTGTTATAGCTGGGCCGGAATGTGAAAATCGTTGTTTTCTGTTGTTGATTTTTTTTCGTTTGTGAGGTTTTGCAACAAGTTATTGTTTTTTTTCCTTTTTGTTTATTTTAAGCTCACATGAGCTTGCTCAGGGCGAGCTTTTAGGATCGTTGAATGTCCGTCGTCATTCGTCCGTCGTCATTTGTTCGTTAACACTCTAGTGGTCACATTTTTGCCTCAGTCATCATCAACTCTTGTCAATATGCTTGTCTTGGTAATAGCTCGGATTAGTTCGAAAATGGGTCATCTCGGAGGAAATTCAAGGTCAAAGGAGCTAGAAAAAGAAAAAAAACTTGTTAACACTCTAGTGGCTACTGTTGTGATCCAACTATCCTGAAAATTGGTTTGAAAGTCTGTATTGATGACCTCTAAAGCAAATTCGTCAGGCCCCGTGTTCACAAAAATTTAAGGATCAGGATCAAGATCAGATTGAAAAACTCTAACATTCTTAATTTTTTATCCTCATAGATTAAATATCTAATATTAATTTGAAAAAAATGGCCTTGCAATAACAAATTAATGAAATTTTAGAATAAATTTATTAATTTTACAAGATACGGGCATTTTACAGTTGATCCAAATATTGATCCCGATCCTAAAATTGATCCTTATTTTGATCCAAATATTTTTGTATTTGTTTTATTATTTGTTAATTTTATCCCAAAATCGTTTAATTTCTTTTCAAATTAGCATTTTATTACATTTTGAATATTAACTATTTAATTCTAGCAAAACAATAAATTTTAGTAACATAAAACAATGAAAATAAAATCAGGATCACTTGATCCTGGTCCTGATCTTTTCTCTATGAGCACGGGGCCAGGGGTCAAAAACTAGGTTACACCTTACAAATATGAAACAACCTAATTAAAACTCTAGTGGTCACATTTTCGACTCAGTTGACATCAAACTTTGTCAGGATGCTTGTCTAGGTATTTGTTTGTTTGTTTTATTGGGCTTTACGCAACGCCACACATACTGGTAGAGGAAGACCTCAGGTGCCGTTCCGTGCATTGTTTCAGGCATAGTAAAACCACCCCGATGTTCCGTAAACTAGCTGGATATTTTCCTCAGATGAAAGAAAATTCAAAGTTCCTGTCAGGTTTCGAACCCACAGCGGTGAGGGGCAAGTGGTTTGAAGTCAACGACCTTAACCACTCGGCCACGGGCGCCCACATGTACACTTGTCTAGATGATTACTCGGATGAATGAAAATATAGATCATCTCGAATGAAAAGCTAGTGACACTCTAGTGGCTACTGTTTTGATCCAAATATCCAGAAAATTGTTCTGAAAGTTTGTTTTGATGATTTTTAGGTCGAATGTTGTTTGATGTTCAAATAAGGGTCACCTTACGTCAAAAATAAGGTCACATCCCCCAAATATGGAAACTATGTCACTGGTTTCATTTTTGCCTCAATAATCATCAAACTTTGTCAGGATTCTTGTCTAGGTAATGGGTCAGATTAGTTTAAACATGGGTCATCTCGGATGAAAAACTAGGTCACAGGAGCTAAAATAAAAACATCTTAACACTAGTTTCGTCCGTTCACATTTTGTTGTTAACACTCTAGCGGTCGCATTTTTGCCTCAATCATCATCAAACTTGGTCAGGATGCTTATCTAGTTGATAGCTCGGATGAGTTCGAACATGGGTCATCTCGGATGAAAAAGTAGGTCACTGGAGCTAAAAATAGAAAAACTTTGTTAACACGCTAGAGGTCACATTTTTGCCTAAATCATCATCAAACTTGGTCAGGATGCTTGTCTAGGTGATAGCTCGGATGAGTTCGAACATGGGTCATCTCGGATGAAAAAGTAGGTCACTGGAGCTAAAAATAGAAAAACTTTGTAAACACACTAGCGGTCACATTTTTGCCTCAATCATCAAACTTGGTCAGGATGCTTGTCTAGGTGATAGCTTGCATGAGTTCGAACATGGGTCATCTCAGATGAAAAAGTAGGTCACCGAAGCTAAAAATAGAAAAACCTTGTTAACACTCCAGCGGTCACATTTTTGCCTCAATCATCATCAAACTTGGTCAGGATGCTTATCTAGTTGATAGCTCGGATGAGTTCGAACATGAGTCATCTCGGATGAAAAACTAGGTCCCAAGAGCTAAAAATAGAAAAACCTTGTTAACACTCTAGCGGTCACAATTTTGCCTCAATCATCATCAAACTTGGTCAGGATGTTGGTCTAGTTGATAGCTTGGATGAGTTCGAACATTGGTCATCTCGGATGAAAAACTAGGTCACAGGAGCTAAAAATAGAAAAATCTTGTTAACACTCTAGTGGCTACTGTTTTGATCCAAATATCCTGTAAATTGGTCTGAAAGTTTGTTTTGATGATTTCTAAGTCAAGTTCGAACATGGGTCATCTTGGATGAAAAACTAGGTCTCACAGCCCAAATATGGAAAAACCTTGTTAACATTCTAGTGGTCACATTTTCGACTCAATTATCATCAAACTTGGTCAGGATGCTTGTCTAGGTAATTGCTCGGATGAGTTCGAAATCGCATGTGAAACTAGGTCACCGGAGCTAAAAATAGAAAAATCTTGTTAACACTCTAGTTGCTACTGTTTTGATCCAAGTATCCTGGAAATTGGTCTGAAAGTTTGTTTTGATGATTTCTAGGTCAAATTTGAATATGTGTCACCTAGAGTCAAAAACTAGGACACACCGCCCAAATATGGAGAATCCTTGTAAACACTTTAGTGGTCACATTTTTGCCTCAATCATCTTCAAACTTTTTCAGGATGCTTGTCTATGTAATTGCTTCGAATATGGGTCATTTTGGATGTAAAAGCAGGTCACATGAGATAGAAATAGAAACATCTTGTTAACACTCTAGTGGCTACTGTTTTTATAAAGAAAATATCCTTGAAATTGGTTGAAAGTTTGTTTTGGTGATTTCTAGGTCAAGTTTGAATATGGGTTGCCTGGGGTCAAAAAGTAGGTCACACCGCCTTAATATGGAAAAATTTGTTAATAATCTGGTAGTAACATGTTTTACTCAATTGTCATCAACCTTTCTCAGGATACTTGTCTGGTGAATTGCTCGAAAGAGTTCAAACATGGGTCATCTTTGATGAAAAACTAGGTCACAGAGCTAAAAATAGAGATATCTTGTTAACACTCTTATGGCTAGTGTTGTTATTAACTATCCTGGAAATTGGTCTGCATGTTTGTTTTGATCATTTCTTGGTCAAGTCCGAATATGGGTCACCTGGGGTAAAAAACTAGGTTACACTGTCCAAATATGGATAAACCTTGTTTACACTCTAGTGGTCACAATTTTGACTCAATTGTCGTCAAACTTGGTCAGGATGCTTGCCTTAGCTATTGCTTTGATGGGTTCGATTGGTCAGGTGAGCGATCTAGGGCCATCTTGGCCCTCTTGTTTAAAATTAAAACCATTGAATGTATTTTCATACCTCAATGAATTTTCTTGACTAATTAATTTGCATGTTTAATAACTTAAAGATAATTTTTAGGAAAAGATGTTAAAAAATCAAAAGAGAAATGATAATATTAGGTTGCTTATAGTTTATGATATCAATTATAGGAGTTTATAACGTTTTTAGAAACGAAAATGGCAAAAAATATCGGACGTAATATCCCGAGTTTACAAAAGGTATAAGTAACACCATTTCATCATTAGCTCAGTACATTTGTAATATTAGATTTAATTTTAATTTGATGTTTTTATTTCGTAAAATATACATGTAGTTGTATATATTTTTGTATATGTATATCATTTTATACGGTATCATGATTTCTTATTTTATATAGGTCATTTTGACTTGTTTATGGCATAAGTAAATAGAAGTATTTGATATGTGTTACTATTTGAATGATAAGTTCATGTACAGCTACTCTTACTTATCTATGTAAGACATATTTTGTTCTTGCTTTTTCTGTGGCAAAGTTCGAATTTATCGTATACTCAATCGTTTAAGTAATCTATTTCTTAACTTATATTTCAGCTCTCGGACAAGTAGTTAAGACATACAATCAAATAATTGTGTTTTTTTTTATTATTCCATAACATTACTACAACAATTGATAACAATATTAGCTTTATCATAGTTTATTTTAGTAAAGTAGAGTGTTTTCTATTTTATTTTACACTTTATTTAACGTTACACAATTAATTAGTTTATGACAATGGTGACGCCTAGATTCACTATATGAGACAATAACATGTTTTTGTATGAAAATAGGATACAAATAATTCACATGTTATACATTTATCAAACATAGCTAAAGGATAACAAATCCATATAAAATATCGAGTCATGCCAAATACATCCAACATATTCAGAGAATTCGTGTAATATTGATTCTTAAAGGACCTCCACTGACGTCCAAAGACTACAAATTAATTTGAGTTTATAACACAGATCAGATGGGACACTTAAAACAAAAAGATATGGACAAGATGATATATATGTGTGTATATATATATATATATAAATATATAATATTAAATAAAATGTGGATAAAATAAAGTTATCTTTTCATTTAATGGAAAATTATTTCAAGTCCAATAATGTCAGAAAACCACGCTGGAGTCCCTTTTATACATTTTCGTCAACCGTGAGAGGGTGTATTTTTCACTAAGACGTAATTATTTTAAATAAACGAAACAAAAAGAAAAACATACCATTATGACAGTAACTCGGAAAGAGGTTGTTTAAAAGATAAAAATAAATCCAATTACCTGACTTTGATTTGTTTTCACCTTCCAGTTGCATGATATTTTTTAATATTTTGGTCAGTTACGTACACTGGTATCTCAGATGATGGCAATAATTATTCTAACAGTTTTCTAACAGCAGTGACTGAACTAGATAAAGAAAAGAATCAATCAGACACTAGTCATGTCATATGTAACTTTCAAATTTATTAATCCTTTCATAACCGACACAAAAAGATCAGCGTCAACCTACTTCTGTCCAATGGTTACATACTAGAGATTTTATATCAACGAGAAACAGGATGTTATTCTATTTATACTAATGAACAGCTGCTAGGAAAGTTTAAAGTTTAAGTAAGTTTAAAGTCTTCAGCAATTGATATTACGCCGCCTGTCAATCACGCTGGCAGGGTTCTTACAGATAAGCCAATCGGCGACCGTTATCAGTTTCACGCTAAGATGTCTGTAAAGTCCGCCATTTTCTTTAGACAAGCTATTTGCAGCAGCATTTATAATGAAATTATTTTGATTTTTGTCAATTTAAAGCTATTAAATCACTTTATCTAATTTACCAAATATCCTGGCATATTGACAGATTGAGTCAGTTAGTTTTACAAAAAAATATCAGTAACTTTGTATATATGAAGTGATTTATATAGCAGGTATGAAAGTTAAAACTGGCTATACCACAATGCATTAAAAAAAAGAAAAAAATAAACAAATGCTCTATTCTCTCCTTTATTACAATTATGTCTATTCATAATCACATATTATATCATAAGGTACGAGAATATTCAAATGATATAACATTTTTTGTTCGTTTATAACATAGTGTCAATAAAATGCTGCAGTAGAAAAAAGGACCTGCAAATAAAATTAGAGACTATGCAATGATTATTTTAGGTGAAATTATCCTGCCAAAATATTTATGTTAAAGCTCAATGAATTTAGATTAAATCTTTAAACACATCTGCTTCAACAACATCATATCTAAGCGCGGTTTTAATTTAAAGCCGAGGTTTGGTGTATGCGAAACTTTTTGAAGTGAATAATATAGCGTTTTATCACGAAGCATATCTACGGAGCCTCTAAGGTTACATTTTCCACACATTTTTCCCGGCATTTATTTCGAAATATTCAATAGTTTTTACGAAATATTAATTCGTTTTTACGAAACATTATTTCGTAATTATGAAATATTAATTCGTAATTTCGAAATATTAATTCGTTAAAACGAAATGTTATCTTGTAATTACGAAATATTAAATCGTAATTACGAAATATTATTCGTAATTACGATATATTAATTCGTAAAAACGAAATGTTATTTCGTAATTACGAGATAATAATTCGTCTTTACGAAATATGCACCCTTTTTCCCCATTGTGAAATACATGTTCCCATCAGTAACGTTTTAATTGTTGAGGCTATTAATATTTTCTGACATGTTTCTTTAAAAAGTAACATGTTATATTATTACTTTTTTCATCATAAACATTTAATTTAGTAAAACTAAAAAGGGGGGGGGGGGGCTCCAGATTTTCACTCATCTAATCAAATTAAAAAAGTATATTTCTTTACAAGTTATGTATGGGCACCGTGCGATCATTAAATACATAATATTTGATTTCAAAACTCAATAACATCGACAAAACGATGGATTTGAAGCACAGGACCCACATTTTAACAAAACTTTCCTAGCGCTGTACAACCACGGCTGTGGCGGCAACGCTATTGACAGGCGATGATTTTTAATTCAAATGTACACAAGTGTTAAGTTGTAAAACTTGGGGAGAAAAACCCTATTTATATTGAATTTACATGCCTTACTTTTAGTCAGAAACTTAGTGTTAAGTCCTTCTTTATAAATACTTCCAAAAATCTTTGACACCCTAGAAAAAAATTATTCGTTTTTACAAATATTATTTCGTATTTACGAATTATTATTTCGTGATTACGAAATAACATTTCGTTTTTACGAATTAATATTTCGTAATTACGAAATAGTATTTCGTTTTTACGAATAAATTTTTCGTTTTTACGAATAATATTTCGTAATTACGAATTATTCTTTCGTAAAAACGAATTAATATTTCGTAAAAACGAATTGATTTTTCGTAATTACGAATTAATATTTCGTAAAAATGAATTAATATTTCGTTAAAACGAATTAATATTTCGTAATTACGAATTATTATTTCGTAAAAAAGAATTAAGCTCCGGGGAAAAAAGTGTGGAAAATGTCACCTTAGGTACTCCGTAAATATCTGATGTACATAATTATATACATATAATAATATATCATACTACTAAGTTCTGCAGGGGCAATTTTCTCATTCAATTTATTATATATCAATTTATGCACATATGCACTTAGTTTTATCACGAAATATATCTAATATCAAAGTTACGCAACGGCAATATTTACATTTAATTTTACAGTTTATGCACGAATGCATTATATATAAGTGATTTCGCACAAGAACCTTAAAACATTTGTAAATGTTACTGTGTTATTGATATAATTTTACTATTTATATGTTCCGCTTCTTCAGTTTTAGCTTTCTTTGAATTTGTAACCTAAAATGATAATTTGTCAGTAACATCTTCCTTGAAGTCATCGAGAAATATAACAAGGTCTTTTCCAAAAGTTTTATTCATCAATAATGCATGAATAAAGTTATTTGTTATTTTTTTAATACAATAAAACATTGAACTATTTAATAAAATCATTAAAATCTTATATATACCAAATTATATAAGGTAAATTCAAGAGTCATTTTAGTGCATTATAGTTTTCCGTTAAGGTCAGTACCGTTGTCTAAGGTTCTGATTGACCGGGTCACGTGAATCAGTGGGCGGAGCAATCTCTTCTCTGGCGTAATGTCAATTACTGATGTTTAAAAGAATTATATTTTTTAACAACATGAATAGTCTACGCGAAATAATCTTGTATTAAAACAATGTCGGAAAATTGTCTAAAAAGATTTCAATATAAAGACAAAAAAAAATTTCAATTCATTTACGATTGAAGAAAAGATTGCTTTAAAAATTATAATGACACATTGCATTAAGCATTGGATATTCCATTTTATTTCTTTGTTAAGGAGAAAAGAAACAAAAAGAAGTTGAAATAAAAGAAATAAAAAAGTTAAAAATGAAAAGAAAAACAATAACTTAAAGGAACACTTACCTTATATCCAAATTTTTAAATCTTATTTACAATTATAGTTAATTTAAATTTCCCAACAAAGCAGTCATTCAAGTAACAATATCACTAAATATGAAGTTATTTCAAAAGTAGATTAATAATATATCATTTTATTATATACCTATAAATTTTCTCCCTAAAATACACGCCAATAATGAAGCGCAAATACGCTTCAACGGATAGAAAATTCCGTATTATGTTAGTGACAAATACGGTTCCATATAAGGAAGTGCCGGACTATTTTTTTGTTTGGTCCCCGCCTTTTCTATGCGTTACGTAGTGTTTTGAAACGGGAACCAACACTGCAATGAGCACTTTGCGGGGAATTCATTGCTATATTTAGTAACGAAATTCCGCTGTCAAAATATATAAACAATCATGTTTTACCGAGTTTTATTCACTTTTTTCAACATTTCAAATGTGGAAAACCTATAATTGTGTCCAAATTCCAAAACCTGTTTAATATACACAAATAACGTTCGCGTTAAAAAAGTGTTCGTGATTTAATAGATGGTCTGCAACTGTACTATATACATGTAGTGGGCGTTACTGTCAATGGTAAAACGTAACGGAGCTCTTTCTGTTAAAAATGTCCGACGATTTGTTTGATGATGACTTGGACCTATTAACCCTAACTCAGAATTGGTATTTTGATGATGTTGAACAATCTGATGAACTGTTTGGCTTTGATTTTGAGGAGGAGGTTTCCCAAACTGACCAAATACATGCAGATGCCAGTGAACTGAGTGTTGGCATAGCCAACTCCCTCCTAGATTGTCATTCTGATGCAGTTCAGCAAGAAAAAATGAATGACACTGGTAATATAAATAATGTTAATCAAGTAATCACTGAAACTTTGAATTGTACCACACAGAGTCCAGAAAATCTTGTTGGTGAGCAAGAAAATAATATAAACTGTGGCAAATCAAATGCTAACAATCCAACCTTCTTCAACATAACTGATGAAGAAAAAGAAAACTTTGTTACAGGAATGAAAAACAAAAACACTGTAAAAAAACTGAAACAAGTCTCCGTCAGTTTCAACGTTGGCTTGCTGAGCCACCAAGAAATTACTTGAGGAATACCAGCTGAACTGGACAACTTGGTTCCTTCTTGCTGTCAATAAGCAAAACTGATGGATCAGAATATGAGCCCGATACACTCACCTCATTCCACAGAGGCATTGACAGGTAATACAGTAGCCTTGTTTAACATCAAAACATTTTAAACAAGGATTCAAACCGTTCTGTATTTTTCCCCATTCATGCTTTTGACCATTTATTCTTATGTGACTTATGAGTCAATCTGCAGAGTGTAGTGCTAAAATGATTGGTCTTCATATAACACAGCTTCCATTCATCCTGTGGCAAAAAATATATGTGTTATCTATGTCTCTGTATTTATGATTGCTGTTGTTTTTCTTTCCTTAAAATAAAGTTATTATTATATTAACAAACTGTCATAGAATCATATAATTTTGTTCATGTAACAAAGCTAGTCTGATGATCATGTTAATTAAAGCTGTTATGAGTCAAAATATTTTAAGAAAATCAAACTTGAGAAAAATGAACTAAGAATTTTTGAGAAGAAAAAAGATTCAAACAATACAAAAGTGAATTCAAGTAATAATTTACATTTTATGTGCGCTTACACTGATTTGACTTTCCCATTAATATGAGAGACATTTTTGTATTTTTTGACCTCTTTGTTTGGATAAATTATAGAGGATATTCAGGTTTTTTCATTTTATTTATTTTCATCGAGTGGTATGAAAATAAATATTTCATGAGTAGCCACAAGTGAAATATGGTAATTTTCATGCCATAAGATAAAAATAAATCATGTACTTATAGAAAAAACTTGAATTTTCTGTTTATTATATACATTTTTCTTTTTTTTGACATTAAAATTTGAGAAACTTTCCCTTAAATTTTGTGTACTGGAAGAATTTAAAAGAAATTAGTCCGACAAGACACCAGTGAAAATACGGTAAATGTGTTTCATTGCAGTGAACAATAAATTTTTACAGTGAAAATACGGAATTTACATGTAATTGGTTTGACAAGAGAGTGAATAATTCCATAACTTTAGAATAAATAAAGATAAAAATATAGGATTGCTTATAGTTGATTTTAGTTCATAATTACTTTCAATGAAAAGACAAGTAATGTAATTTACATTTATAAGGATGTTCTATTTCATTACGATCATTTACATTAATAAATAATAAAGTCAAATGTATTTTTGTATTTAAAGGCCTGTTATCAACTCTCAACGGTATAATATAGTTTGAAAATTGCCTCGTTCTTTTAAATATACATTAGTTTTTAAATGCATTTCCTAAAATCAGATGCGCCTACTTTTTAATTTAAATAAGTAAAAGTT